GAGACTGAACATAAACTGTGCACCTATGGATGAGGACAATGGGGAGTGGGGAAAAGGCAGAGGGTGGGGTGGGAACCTGGTGGAGGAGAGCAATGGTGGGGGGGGGGGGGAAGGAACATTTGTAATAATATGAACAATAAAAACTTATTAAAAAAAAATTAAATCCCTTCTGATAAAAAGAGATGTTATTTCCTAAAGCGAAAGCTTGAAAGCGTGGACCTATGCACCAGCTGGTCACGGTTCGATTGCCGATCGGGGCACAGGCCCCGGTTGCAGGCTCCATCCCACTATGGGGTGTGCAGGAGGCAGCCAATCCGTGATTCTCATCATTGATGTTTCTCTCTCTCGCTCTCACTCTCACTCTCCCTCCCTGAAATCAATAAAAGTAGAAAATAAAGGAGAGATTTCACCAGTCTTCCCTCCTATGGAGACACACTGCGAATTACACACATGCTTTTAAAAGGTCTTCCTCCCCAAAAACTCATGTCTGAGAACCCGGGGTCACCACAGGCTCCCCTGTCCGTCCAGGCAGCCCAGCTCGTCCTGCCATCCATGGGCCATGGACACAGCTGCCTTGTCCTGGCCTTTGTCCCTGGCCTCCTGCCCCAGGGCCGGCTGCAGGCTGCACAGGACGGTCACAGACGACCCCAGGCCCGCCAACCAAAGAGGGCTTCGCACAGGCCTGGGCGGGCAGGCACCACGAAACCACTGACTCTGAGGCGTGGAGTCACACACGGAAAAGCCCAGCGGAGGCTGGAGCGCCCCCTCGCAGTCTCTGATCGGAGACCGGGATCTGAACACACGGGTGCTTCCCCAGAGGCTCGCTGGGAACAATACACGTTCCGGGAACCTGTCTGTTGTAAGGACGAAGCAAAGCATCTCAGGCTCCCCAGCGAAGGCACTGCCTCTCGTCCCGTGGTCCACAGAGTCCGACCGCTCCTCTAAGAAATAAAAATAAGAAGGCCCCAGGAGGCGGGCGAAGGGAGAGCGGCAGCTGCCATGTCTCCGTCTCCCCATGGAGCTAACAAGACCAAACAAAACTGCCGCTGAGACAGAGCAGAAGCCGTGCTCGGTCTGTGTGCCGGCGGAGGGCATGTGTGCAGACCGGGCGGACAGGACAGATCCGGCAGTCATGTGGCCTGGGGCCAGTGATGATGCCCCTCTGAGCCTCGGTTTCCCCGGCTGGCACAGCAGGGTGGCTTTGAGAATTAGGGTGCACGCCACGCCCCTGGCCCAGGGTGAGCCCTCCACGCCCAGGGGCTGCTGCTGTCTTTGGCCGGCCTGTGCCCACCGCCCGGCACCCAGCTCCCCGTGGCCCTGAATCTCGGGGACTTGGGAACCACGTCACCGGAGCAGGAGCCTCCGTTTCCGTGCTTCAGGGTTGGAGGGGAGAGGAGCCAGAGCAGCAGGAGCCGGCCACCACCCCCGTTTCGGGCCAAACGAGCTGTTTACCACAATGATGGCGCTGAGCTCTTAGGAGTGGCCCAGTGGACAGGCCCCTCCAGGGACAGCACACGCCCGAGGGGCTTCCCTGCGGTCCGGCTCCCCATCCCCCTCTTCCCAAGGGCAGCCCCACAGCCCCACAGCGCGAGGGGAGGTGCCTGTCGCGCTGCTCCCTAACCCCTGACGTGATGTGAAACTCGACAAGGTGGACCCTTTGAAATGCAAAGTCCTGCGGGCCTGCCTCTGTGTTCCCTCTGCTGGGCTCCGAGGACTGAGGGCTGCTTTCAGACCCACCGGCAGCGGTCCCTCTCCATCAGCCCGGAACAAAAAGGGGAGAGGGGAGAGGGGAGAGGCCAGGCAAAGGCCGATCCGTCTTTTGAAAACGCTCAAGTGTCTCCAGTTGCTGCAGGGAGAACCCTGCCCTGGGCCCAGCCTCCTGGTCCCCTCCTCCGAGGCCCCGGAGCCAACTCCCCCTGGAAGGGGTCTTTCTAGAGACAAGAATCCGTGCTCTCTGACCCGCTGCCCTCTGACCCCAGGTCGGGAAGGTCAAGGCAGGCAGCCCGGAGCCCCACCTGGATCCAGAGCCGCGCGGAGGTTTGGATTAAACATCAGAGAGGAGGTGCCTTCACACGAGGTTGTTTGGCAAAGAGAACGGCTCCCTCGTGGGATGGACCCTGGGGGCCGGCAAACTGCTCTGGAATACTGACTTCTCACGTCAATGTAAATGGCGCTGGAACCAGCCTTTCCTCCCGCTCCGGGCACATCGGCACATCTGAGCCCCCGGGTTCCTTTCCAGAGTTCCCATCCCGCCCGCCGGCCGCGAGGGGACCGCGGTTAACGGAGTCAGCGGTCACAGTGCGGCCCTGACCTTGTGGCTCCGCGGGCAGCCAGGGCCCTCGGACACCCGGCAGGAAGCACCCACGGAGGAGCCGGCCGCCGGGAGCCGCCCGTCTGCGTGGACTCCCTGGGCAAGTTTGAGCGGCAGCTCCCGGGGGACCGAGACCGTGGGAGGGTGGGGAGAGGAGGGGGGCGAGCGGAGGGCAGGCGGCAGCTGGACGGGGGAGCGGCGCCCAGCCGGGCGCAACTGCCCGGAGCCCGCCAGCCTGGCCATGTGCTCCGTGCTGGCAACAAACCGGCTCTTTCACGAGAGGAGACGCTGACAGAAAGGACAGCTGCAGCCAGGGAGAGGCCGGGAGGCAAAATCCTCGAAAAAGCCCGCCTGGGACATCCTCCCCTGGAGGGAAGAAAAAAGCCGCCTCTGGGCTGGCCAGGGCTGGTCTGTTAAAAGGCCTGTCTCCCCTCTGCACGCCCGGCTGATCAATGAGGGAGCCCTCCACATCTGGTTTCCATCGGAGCCCGAAACGTGTACCATCAGCAGATTAACCACGAGCCCTGCCTGCCGGTCTCTTTACTGCACATGGAGAGGTGTGCGCGGTGGTGGTGCCCGTGGGGGTGGTGCTGGGCTGAGCATTTGCTTATTTCCGTCTTTTCTTTTTTTTTTACGTTTTCTCCACCCGGTAGGAAACTCAGCAAAGCCCCCTGCATGCCTCATCCAGGGAACCACCTGACAGTGGCCTTCAGGGCCCACCGCGCGGAGCAGCCCTAGGGGAGAGGGCCGGCCTCTTAAAGAGCCAGGCCAGGTGCGCCCACGTGCTCCGAGGCGGCCTCTGCTGCCCGGCCCGGGTTTGACACGGGCTCCTGCAGGCACGGGGGGGGGGGGGGGGGGGGGGGGGGGGGGGGGGGGGGGGGGGGGGGGGGGGGGGGGCAGGCCTTCGCTGGGCTTCCCGGGGCGCCTGCTCCCTGAACCCACTCAGAGGACACACAGCCACGCAGCTCCTACAGAGCGGGCGGGACGGAGGAGCCGGGGACGGCAAAGGACACCGCGGGAAGTCTAAGCGGCGTGGACAGAAACAGCCTAAGAAATAACACCGGGGCGACCCGCAGAAAGCCCCGTTAGTGTGGCCACAGGGACACGGAGGGTCTCAAAGCTCTTCCCAAAAGAACTTCGCGTGATTCCGAAATGTTCCATGCACGCGACATACCCCCAAGCCGAAACCGGAGGGAGAAATAACCGAGCACCGGGTGCGGTACTGGTCCCCCCGCAGGCCGGTCCCGCCCACCTCTGCAGCCACAGCGCTGCCCACCTGTGTCCTGTCTGCCCTGGTCTTCGCTGTCAGAATGACCCTCCTACCCCCTCTCAGGGACCCAGGAGGTCCTGGGCAACAGCAGGCAGGCCCGCAGTCACACCATCTTGCTCTTCGGGTGGGGCGTTTGGGAGAAAAGCACAGATGGGCCTGAAGCTCCCATTTTGCAGACGGGGCCGGGGAGCGCCCAGGCAGCTGGGTGCGCACCCTCAAGGCCTGCAGGGTGCCTGGCTGCATCCAGACCCCGGCCGGGCACAGACACAGGGTCAAGGGCTTTGAACCCTGCACTGAAGACCCAGGCTTCGCAGCTGGGACAGCAGCCGTTTTGTTGATCTGGCTGCCCACAGACCCGCAGTTCAGTACCAAACTGTACGGGCGAGAGAAGTCACAGCTCAACGGTCCGCCGAAGTGAAACCAAAACCGGCGGCGCCAGGAACAGGGCTGTCACCCGCCTGCTATCGCCCCCTCCCCCGTCCTCACACGGGCCCCTCTGCCTGGGTCCCCCGGCCGGGGCTGCCGGGGGCACAGATGCTGCGGACGAGCGCGGGGTGAGCCTGGCCTCCCGGCCACGCACAATGCCGTGCGCAGCCCGCAGGCGATGGGGACAGCCGGCCCCACGGCCCGGTGCACACGCTTGTCCGGCCGGCCGGCTCCTCCGCCCCGCTCCCTCCGGGGTCCCGCCAGGGGTCCCGGCCGGGACGGCGGGGCGGCCTGCAGGAGGCGGAATCCGCTCGCCAGCGCCGCGGAGGCTCTTTGTTCCCCGTCCCGGTCCGGTGCGCGGGGCTGAGCCGCGGCCGGAGCGCGGGCGCCGGCTCCGGGGCGCCCGGGGCGGAGGGCTCAGCACGGCGCGCCGGTCCGCGCGGAGCTTTGTCCCGGTCTGCGGGCGGGGAGCGGGGAGCCCCGGGGGGCGCAGAGCGAGGGCCCCGGACTCGGGGTGTCCTTGCCCCGCCCGGGGGACCCCAGAGGGAGGCGGGCTCCGGTGAGCAATCAGCGCCGGGAGCGCCGGGAGCGCCGGGAGCGCCGGGCCGGACCGGAGGCCGCCTGCCATGTGCGGAGCCCCCCGGCCCCGCGCCCGCCGCGCCCGCCGGGAGGAGCCTCCGCCCGCACCGCCACCCCGGCCGGTCCCCGCGCCCGCACCCGGGCGCCGCCGCCAACTTCCGCGAACAAAGAGTTGCCGGCGCCGCTGCGGGGCGTCCGGGCGAGCGGGCGCCGTGGGACGCGGAGCAGGGCCACCCGCGCACCGTCCCCGCTGACAGTCCCGCGGCACCGGGCGGCCAGCGCCCGGGAGACCGGGCGGAGCGACAGGAAACAGCAACAGAGAAACCAGAAGGGCGAGCCCCGGCCGCGAGGTCCTCCCCGCCGGCCCCGGGGCGCGCGCCCCGGACCCCCGCCCGGGCCGCCCCCGCCGCTTACCGTGCGCTCCGGGCGGACCCCGCCGCCGCCGCCGCCGCCGCGCACCTCCCCGCGGCGCCGAGCGCGGGTCCCGCGGCTCCGGAGGAAACCGGCTTGTCACTTCCTGACTGCGCCGCCGGCCTCCGACCGCCCGACCGGCCGCCGCCTCCGCGCGCCGCTCGCCGCCGTGGCCGGGCCGCCGAGCGGAGGGCGCTGCGGGCGGGCGGGCTCGGCGGGCGGGCGGGCGGCGGGGAGCGCGCAGCCGCCGGGGGGCGGGAGCGGGGCCGGCGCGCCGCCAGCGGGGCCAGAGGGCGCCCTGCGGGCCGGCCGCGCCCCCCGGCCCGGCTGCCCGGCGGGACGCGGGAAGGGCCCGGCCGAGCGCCATCGCGGAGCCCGGGCCGGCCGGCTCCCGCCGAAGTCGCCCCCTGCCCCCTGCCCCCTGCCCGAGGCGGGGTGCACCGGGCCGCGTGCGCCCCAGCCGCCCGCTTCCGGGTTGTGGGTTCCTGAGGTTCCACAGCAGCGGTCCTCTCCGTGGCCGCTGGGGGCTGGGGGGGGGCGGGGGTCGTGTGCGTGCTGTCACTTTGGGGCAGGAGCTCGGGTGAGGGTGGACGGCTGGATGGGAACAGGGATGTGTCCTTCACAGCCGGCCCGCATGCAACTGGTGGAGGGAGGGCGGGTTGCTAGGCAGAGGCGCGTGTTTAGCTCGGTAACTTAGGATGTTGACTTAAGTCCAGGAATGCGGCCCCGATGCAAGACGCGGTGTTTTCATTGTGGGCTCACCTGGGGGAGGGGACGGTCCTGTGAAGAGCGAGCTTCCCGTCCCTCCTGCCTGCAGTGCATGTAACTTTACTGACCTTGTGTCCAAGCGGAGATGTGTAAAGACTTTTTTTTTTAAGAGAACTCCCTATGCCTGTTTTGTGTTCTCCTTTGCCAAAAAAACAAAACACCTCATTACTTGACATGGATTGTGTCTGAGCCATTTGAATGGTTCTATTCATAAATCAGGAAACTTTTTCTGTTGCTTCTAGGAACATTTAATTGGTTTTAATCCAACGTTTCAATCCCAGCATCAAACATAAATGAACAATTAACTTTTTGAGCCTGTGTGCACTTGGGAAACTATTATATTTCATGGCTATTGCTGAAATATTTCGGTTTCTCACCACACTGGGCCCATTCTTTGCAGAAAACCATGAGCTAACATCTCCTTTCCACTAACTGCGGCCCCCAGGAGGAGCACGGCCAGCAGCGCAGGGGGTTTGTGGTGGATGTGGGACAGAGTCCTATGGGAGCCAAAATGAGCTAATATGCAGAACACTGACACTGATGTCTGTGTGCATAAACACTTTAAAAAGCTAGCGAGGGTCAATTCTGAGTGGAGCGAGAGCAGAGTCTTCCGAGGCTGGACAAAGAAGGCCCGGGATAACTGGGGAATGCTGCCACATTTCCCAACGCCGTCACCTCGCCTTGGAGGGCTGTAAGGATATAGTTTAATTTAGTTTTTATTAGGAGGCCTAGAGTGACTCCTGCCGGCAAGCATTCCGTTTATTCCTGGAATTACCAGCTCATCGGTCACCTTAAAACACAAAGCGCAGGGTCGCGAGCCGCGGCCCACCACGCAGCCGTTCCTCTCGCTGCCGTCAGGGTGACCGGTTGCACAGAACTCTCAGGACTGCGGTCACGGCAGGCCCTTTCCAATCCGCAGCCACCGGCTTCTCCGGCTGAGACTTCATCGTAGTGAGAATGGACAAAACCGAAACACGTGAGTACGGGGCTGTGCTCCTCCCCAGTCGCAGCTACTTCTCACTGACTTCATTTCACTCTCCAGAGGCTAAGACCTGTGTCACGTAACCTCCGTGCTGTGAGGCTCCACCCACCGCCTGGAACGAGTCCTGTAGATATTAAAACACCCCCACTTTTTTTTTTTAATATATTTTATTGATTTTGTACAGAGAGGAAGGGAGAGAGATAGAGAGTTAGAAACATCAACGAGAGAATCATCGATCAGTGGCCTCTTGCACACCCCCTACTGGGGATGTGCCCGCAACCAAGGTACATGCCCTTGACCAGAATTGAACCGGGGACCCTTCAGTCCCCAAGCTGACGCTCTATCCATTGAGCCAAACGGGTCTCGGCAAAGCACCCCCACTTTTTAGAGCTATAGTACATAGTTCTAATTATAAAAACTCTACCCGAAAGGTTGTGCATTAGAGTTTTGCTCAACCCAGAAGAATAAACATAAACTCAGTGGGACTCTGGGTTTACGGCAATGTCAGCGGCCCCTGGGGGAGGGTAAGCTGTCTACCTTTGTTCAATCCTGAGAGGCCAAAGCCAGGTGTAGCGCACAGACACCTCAACACAAACTCACAGGCCAACTGAGGAATCAATCCGTAAGGAGCGACCAAAAAGAACCACCTGTAGCGCTTCATTATTCCCGGTCCCACGATGGGGTTAAACCAGGAATGTCCGGGGAGAGAAAAGGTGGAGGTTGCATGCAGTCTCACCCCGGGACCAAGACGGAACCCAGGAGGGAGCCAGCGGCCTGGCTCTCCCGGCCCCGAGCAGAGCTGCCCACGGCGAGAGGCTGCATGCGTGGTGGGCCCCCCCTCACTGCCTGGGGTTTATTGTCACTCCCTCTTAAGAGCCCCCCCACCACCAAAGTTCCAAGCTCTTAAGCAACCAGAGACAAACGGGGTGTATTTTATTAAGAAAGGGTGTGATCAACTGTGACTTGTATCAACAAGCTAATAAAAGCGTGCACCGGAGTAAGCACTTTTGTGCAGAGGAGGGTAAAGGTTGGGTTTGATACGCACCAAGGAGTGTCCTGGGAGCCGGTGTGTGTTTTATTCCTGTGCCTTTAAACAAGACAAATGTGACATTCAGACTAGGCTTTGAAGTCTGGGTGAGGAGTTTTCCCATCAAATCTATCTGCACCCCCCGTTTTCAAAGAGCACCCCACTTAAAAACAGGCACCAGTTTGCCTCTGAGAACAAAGTATTCTTTTTAGCGAAGCCAGTGACAGACAGCAGCCGCCAGATGTGTGTTCGCTCTTTATTCGGCCCCAGCCCGCCTTTGTCCCGCTGCCGTATGAAAGGTCAGGCATTCACATTCACACTGTCCTCTCCGCATCTGAAAAGACTTTTAGAAGCAGAATCCGAACATTTCTTAGAACAGATCACAAGAAGACAGACATCCCCAAGTCCACCTGAGGCACTTCCAGAGAGCCTGGCCACTTAAACCAGAGAGCAAAAGAGGCTTCTTTGGAAAATATGGAAAATTCTGAGTACAGATGAAAATCAAAAAACCTGTACTTACTATGGTGGCAATTTTCTCATGTGGATCTCACTCAAAAAAATAACTTCTGGCCGAAACTGGTTTGGCTTAGTGGATGGAGTGTCAGTCTTCGGACTGAAGGGTCCCAGGTTCGATTCCAGTCAAGGGCATGTACATTGGTTGCGGGCATATCCCCGGTGGGGAGTGTGCAGGAGGCAGCTGATCGATGTTTCTGCCTCTCTCTCCTTTCCTCTCTGTAAAAAAAAAATCAATAAAATATATTAAAAAAAAAAAAAAAAAAAAAAAAGTTCTGCCCTAGCCGGTTTTGCCCAGTGGGTAGAGCACCCACCTGCAGACCAAAGGGTCCCGGATTCAGTTCTGGCCAAGGGCACATACCTCGGTTGCAGGCTCCTCCCTAGCCCAGGCCCACGTCGGCAAGTGCAGGAGGCAACCAATTGATGTTTCTCTGTCTTTCCCTCTCTCCCACTCTAACAATCAATGGAAAGATATCCTCGGGGGAGGATTAACAACCAAAGTCCCGTAACTGTTCCCACATCCACGCTCCAGGTGCAGCTCACCGCCCGGCTGACAGCCTGCGGCAGCCGAGCCTCACGCTCTCCGCTCGGCCTTTCTCTCGTGCTCGGACACACCTTCCGGCTGGTGAGGAGGGACAGCCCTTGCTGCAGCCTCAGATGCATGCGTTGTAGCTGCGTGTGCCTGCATGTATATAAACACACATTTCATAAAAGGCACTTCTGTTCTTGAAGACAGCGTTGCTTTTTGATTCAAGAACCAAATAAAACAAATTTATTTTCATTGAATTTAAGGAAAACCCACACATTAAGCGTAATGACAACACCTGACTCCTCGGACACGGAATGGGAGTGGAGAGCAGCGTGAGGGCCGCTGCTGAATCAGCGTGTGACTGTGGCTTTGTCACAGCGTCTAGCGCCACTGGGGCAGGGGGTGCCAGCTGGGCAGGCATTGTGTGCCACAGAGTGGGGTTGTGAGCCCCAGCCGAGCACAAGCCCTGGTTCCACGCTGGCAGGTGCCGAAAGCAGCGCAGGGAGGACGGGCGCTGGGGGGCGAGCCACGAGGAGCAGCACACAGACAGACATAATGAAGGCTTTTCACTACATTCAAAGCTACAGGCATATGTAAAACTTACCAAACTATTTTACTTCTTTTAAAAATGTTTTTTGTTTTTTTTTTAATTTAAAAAAATATATATTTTATTGATTTTTCACAGAGAGGAAGAGGGATAGAGAGTTAGAAACATCGATGAGAGAGAAACATCGATCAGCTGCCTCCTGCACGCCTGTTCCTGGGGATGTGCCTGCAACCGAGGTACATGCCCTTGACCGGAATCGAACCTGGGACCTTTCAGTCCGCAGGCTGAGCTGATACTCTATCCACTAAGCCAAACCTGTTTCGGCAAAAAATGTTTTTATTGCTTTCAGAGAGGCAGGAAGAGGGAAAGCGAGAGAAACATTCATAATGAGAGAGAATCACGGATCAGCTGCCGCCTGCACGCCCACCCTGGGGATCGAGCCCACAACCTGGGCCAGTGCCCTGACCAGAATCCAACCTGGGACCTTTCAGTCCACAGGCTCAGGCTGTACCCCCGGAGCCCAGCCAGCTGAGGCTATTTTACTATTTAAAGGCCGAGATTCAGAGGCTTAATTAGTTACTGGCCTTCCCTAATCTGCTCAGGGTCTTAGCTGATGCAGACTAACTAGTATCACACAACACGGTCACTCCACCAAAATCGTAACTAGAAACATTGCTGTGCACCGAATTTAACCTGGAAATATTTCAACAGCACACGGAGACTAAATGTTATTTTCCAATGAAAACAATCACAATTTTTAAAAATATATTCTTATTTATTTCAGAAAGAAAAGGGGAGGGGG